ACAATTTTTTGCACGAAAGGGAGCGACAAAAAGCACGATCTAGAGTCTAGAGCACAAGTCTTGGCATAAGGGGGAGCACCAACAAGCACGAGCTTTGGCACGAGGGAGAGAGAGCAGCAAAAAAGCACGAGTTTTTTGAAACTCGATTTTTGGCACAAAGGAAGGCGCCAGAAAGCACGATTTTGGGCACGAGGGAGTGTACCAAAAAGCACGCTTTTGTGCACAAGAGAGAGAACCAAAAAGCACGATCTAGAGCACAATTCTTTTTTGCACGAGGAAAACACCAAAAAGCACGATTTTGCGCATGAAGGGAGCACTCAAAACAAGGCTACGGCGTGGTTAGCGACCCCAGGGAAAACGCACCTTTTTTTCAGCGGCGCTGAAGACAAATCGTGGTATTTACAGCATTTTTGCCTCTGGTGTCAAAGTTTCTATTTGAAATTCGCATGGCAGGCGCGAGACGGCACACCCTTTTTTCTATTTTGATTGTGTTTTTCCATGTATTTTGAAGGTCATCTGTAAAAAAATATATTTCAACCGTTTTCTTTCGCCAACTCGACAAGCTGACTCCAGAGTTGGCGTCCACAGTTGTGTCTGAACATGAAACTTTTGACAGTGTCGAACAAGTGCTTGGCCACAGGTCGATCCTTTGGATCTCTTGTTCTGAGTGCAAGTGCAAGAGAAGATCTCATAGCGTAGCATGAAACGTCTCATAGCGTTGCGTGCAAGTGCAAGAGAAGATCTCATAGCGTAGCATGAAACGTGGGTACAAGTGCGATCTCATAGCGTAGCATGAAACGTGGGTGCAAGTGCAAGAGAAGATCTCATAGCGTAACATGAAACGTGGGTGCAAGTGCAAGAGAAGATCTCATAGCGTAGCATGAAACATGGGTGCAAGCGCAAGGAACGTTATTACGCCCCTCCCCACAACATCCCCCCATGTTTTTGTTTAAGCTTGGATCCTATGTGGATATAGCATGAATGAGCACATTTACATACGCTGTCAAGGCTCAAGAGAAATATAGAATAATCCTGTGGACATCGGACCGACTGGCTATTGGCCGAGTATAGAAGGTGTGAAGCTGTCTTGGGAAGACGCTCTAGCTGATCTAACCTAGACGCTAGTGCCCCTTTTCAAGTGGTAGCGGGGCTGTGATCCTTTTCATTGAAGGCGAGCTCCAGGCAGAGCCCGATATGGCACGCCATGGCTGTGATGATGATGACTTCGACATTGTCGATGCAGATGGATGGAATCAATGTGACTCTTATGCAATGAGAAGAGCACTCCAACAACTCTCAATCCATATGACGCAGCAGATGACCACGAAGGTAGCCCCTGCATATGACGGGAGAACCAGTTTCTTTGCATTTGAAGATGCAATCGATGACTGGTGTGACATCACAGAGCTGGAACCGGAAAACCGTGGACCTGCGTTGAGGAAGAGATTAGAAGGTGAAGCGCAACAGTACAAGAGATTACTGGATCGAGAAATGCTACCGGTAAGGGATCCCAACGATGATGTCAACTATTTCAAAAGATTCTTGCGACCCCATTTAATGAAAGGTGCCCAGAGCGTGTTCTTATACCGTTTCATGCAGTTCATGAAGTACAACAGAGAAACCATGGATCTACAAAAATGGATGACTAGATTTCAACTGACTGGAAACAGACTTATTGAGTCTTGGATGGATCTTCTACCAGATTTGTTGATTCCGAGTCCAGATGCAATTGCATTCGTTGCACAATGTCGTCAAGATCATGAAGCACATCAAGCTGAACTTGCAGGCCTTGCAGCAGCAACACCAGGACAAGAACCACATGTCAATGTACCATGGACAGATGAACATGCTTTGATAGCATTCAGACAACTCAATGAAAACAGATGACAACAACAGAGAATGGCATTCCCCTTAGATGGCAACTTGCTAGCATTGATCTTTGTAAGTCTAGCAGATTGGACGCAAGATCAGAGAAACGCACTCACAAGTATCATGACATATCGTGGACGAACACTTGACCAGTACAATGTGCAAGAACTCAGAGATCTTTTCTTGGAAATGTTTTGCACGACAAAAACAGCAGTAGACAATCCTATGATGCAACCCTCTGGCATTGGACAGAGAAGATCTTTCTTCGTTCTGGAAGAAGGAGAATTAGAAGGAACCGACGGCTATTGGGCCGACGATGATGAAGACGGCGCAGAAGGATTCCTGGATGCTTTAGAAGAGGTTTTCTGGGTTTATGATGCCGCTGACTACACATGGTATCAGAGAAGGTTCCAAGGAAGACAGACCAAACGAGGCAAAGGTAAAGGAAAGAGAAAAGGAAAAGGAAAAGGCAGAGGAGGACGAAGGCTCTTCAGATCAAGGAAAGGAAAAGGTCGAGGAAAAAGAAGAAAAGGCCGCTACTACACTACTACGACTACTACTACTACAACAACAACAACTACTACTACTACTACTAAATTACACTCATACTAAATTACACTAATACTACTAGTACTACTTAGTACTACTTAGCACTACTTAGTACTACTTAGTACTACTTTGGACTGCTTAGGACTACTTAGGACTACTTGGGACTACTTAGTACTATTTATTACTACTTAGGACTACTTAGGACTACTTAGTACTACTTAGTACTACTTAGTACTACTTAGTACTACTTAGTACTACTTAGTACTACTTAGTACTACTTAGTACTACTTAGGACTACTTAGGACTACTTAGGACTACTTAGTACTACTTAGTACTACTAAGTACTACTTAGTACTACTTAGTACTACTTAGTACTACTTAGTACTGCTTAGGACTACTTAGGACTACTTAGGACTACTTAGGACTACTTGGGGCTATTTATTACTACTTAGGACTACTTAGTACTACTTAGTACTACTTAGTACTACTAAGTACTACTTAAAACTACTTAGTACTACTTTGTACTACTTAGTGCTACTTAGTACTACTTAGTACTACTTAGTACTACTCAGTTCTACTTACTACTACTTGGTACTAATTAGTACTACTTATTACTACCTAGTACTACTTAGTACTACTTAGTACTACTTAGTACTACTTAGGACTACTTAGGGCTACTTCGTACTACTTAGTACTACTTAGGACTACTCAGGACTACTCAGGACTCCTTAGGACTGCTTAGGACTGCTTAGGACTACTTAGTACTACTTAGGACTACTTAGGACTACTTAGTACTACTTAGTACTACTTAGTACTAGTAGTAGTAGTAGTAGAAAAAGTAGAAGTAGTAGAAGTAGTAGTAGTAGTAGTAGTAGAAGTAGTAGTAGTAGTAGTGGTAGTAGTGGTAGTAGTACTACTACTACCACTACTACCACTACCACTACTACTACTACTACTACTACTACCACCACCACTACCACTACCACCAATACCACTCCTACCACTACTACCAATACCACTACTACCACTACTACCACTACTACTACCATTACTACCAATACTACTACTACTACCACTACCACTACCACTACTACTACTACTGCTACTACTACTACAACTACTACAACTACTACAACTACAACTACAACTGCAACTACAACTACAACTACAACAACAACAACTACTACTACTACTACTACTGCTAAAACTGCCACTGCCACTGCAACTACCACTACATTGCACTGCGCTACGTTGCATTGCACTACACTACACTAAACTACAACTACGGTAACTACATTTAAACATACGGATTTCCAAATACATGAGCAAGTATTCAAGACTACCTCCGAGAAGGTTTTCCTTGGTCCGCCCGGCAATTTAAATATACGGAATCCAATTCATTGAAACATACGGTAACTACATTAAATTTACGAACTGGTATTTTATACTACCTCCTGGGCCTCGGGGGCTGGCCCGCCCTCCACATATTTGAATGTCGTTGCCGTACAACTACGCCACTTTACACTACACTGCAGTCGACTACACTACACGATACCACACTACAGTACACAACACTACAGTAGACTACACTACACTACACTAATTACACCACACCACAGCTGCAACTGCAACAGCAACTGCAACTACACTACACTAATTACACTACATTACACCTACAACTCCACTACGCCACACTACAGCTGCAACTACAACTGCGCTACACCACACTACATCCAGCAGTTGTGGTGAGGTGACCACTGCAATCATTGCAACCGCTCCAAAAAACCAAACTGTTTAAACTCCAACCACCTTTCGGTCCATCAGTGGATTCGCTCTGCCATCCGTGATTCACAACAACCAACCTCTCCTATAGGGTTTCCTATTTTTCAAACTTCCGCCACCGCCTTGTGCGGTACTACTGGTATAACTATAACACCCATTCTCCCCCACGGATCTGAATCACAAATCTATTCTCCATGACAACCCTCTAAAATTGGCTCACTTCATTACAAACCCCTCAGGCAATTCCCCAATCAAAAGCCCCTACCCTGCTCGCTACCTCTTCTCCCTCTCTTATCCTGTCATCCCATCTTGCATTCCATCATCTATCCGACTCCAGAATCAAAATCCTTGGCTATATCCTCCAAAATCCTCTCTCCCCCGAATTTCACATATGTTTCTATTCCTCTCTTTCCCTCCGCTCTATTACACTCTTTCGCTCCCCTTTCACAGAGGTGCCCCCCGGGCACATTGGCCTGAGCCTCAGATTGCACTATCAAAAGCCTCTCGTAAGGCTTTCTTTCCATTTCCGTAAGTACCCCCATCTCTTGGTCAATTCAACAACCCCTTTTACACGAATATACTAGCTTTACCAGTGTCAAACTTAAGACTTAATTAAGCAATTTTCCTCCACTGGGATGAAAACAAATGTATAACTATAACATTCCCAAGTCGATGCGTCTCCTTCGTCCAATGCAGCCACACCAATATTCCACTCATGCGTTGCCATTCTTCCACAAGTTGCCACTTGTCCCAAGTGATGTTCACACAATTTCCACCAGCTTGGCACTGGGAGTCCCGACTTGGAGGTGCCCGTGACATCTGCTGTATCTGCTGGCAAGCTTGCCTGCACAACTGCATCCGGCCACAGGATTCATCTTGAATGTTTCAGTAGCTACTGGCGCCGCCTCATGCGCAACACAGAGAACTAAATTCATTGGGCAAAACTGTTGCAGCGAGAGCATTAATTAGCATCCAAAGAATGTCTGTGCACGAAGAAAACCAAAAAAGCCCTCTCTCTACTACCAAACGTACCCATTTCCAACTTTGGGAAAATTCAAGGTTGGTCAAATTGATTTGTAATTGATCCCTTTAAAGACGAATTAAAATACAATATCAAATTTGAAATAAATTTGAAGGTTTCGCCCCCTAATAAACTAGACGACGGATGGCCCGAGAGCGTAGAGGAGCAGGGTCTTTTCTTGTTAGTATGGAGACACCATATTACAAAACAATATATTAAAGATGTATTATAGGCAGTCGAGAAGAGGAGTATCAAGACAATATAGCACAAGTACAAAACAATAGTTTGCATTGCAAACACTTTTACACACAAAAGCTTTTACACAGAGCAAGCTTTTACAAAGAGAACCCCTTACACAGAGAAGCTTTTACACACAGAAGCTTTTACACACAGACACTTTACACACAAACGCTTTTACACACAAGGCACTTTTACACACAGACGCTTTTACACACAGGCGCTTTTACACACAGACAGTTTTACACACAGACGCTTTTACACACTGTTGCTTTTACACAGACGCTTTTACACACAAAGCTTTTACCCACAGAAGCTTTTACAAACAGAAGCTTTTACACACAGATGCTTTTGCACAGACGCTTTTACACACAGACACTTTTACACACAGACGCTTTTACACACAGAAGCTTTTACACCCAGACCCTTTTACACACAGGAGCTTTTACACACAGAAGCGTTTACACGCAGACGCTTTTAGACCCAGAAGCTTTTACACACAGAAGCTTTTACACATAGACGCTTTACACACAGACACTTTTACACACAAACACTTTTACACACAGACGCTTTTACACAGAGACGCTTTTACACACAGAAGCGTTTACACACAAACACTTTGACACACAGACACTTTTGCACACAAAAGCTTTTACACAGAGACGCTTTTACACACAGACGCGTTTACACACAGACGCTTTTACATTATCTAGGTCCAAGATAGGTGCTTGATATCCGCCTAGAAACCAGGTACGGTAGGCTTGGTACGGTTGGTACGCTTGGTACGGTGCGGTTGGTACGCTTTGTACGCTTGGTACGGTACGGTCGGTACGGTTGGTACGCTTAGTAAGGTACGCTTGGTACGCTTACCAACCGTACCGACCGTACCAACCGTACCCAGAAACCGCACCAATGAACCGTACCACCGTACCGTACCAGTGGTACATCCAAAACGCCCCCCCTTGACCCCCCCCTTAATCTGGTACGGTACGGTGGTACGGTTCATTGGTACGGTTTCTGGGTACGGTTGGTACGGTTCAAGCGTACCAACAAACGGTACCAACCGTACCAACCGCACCAACCAACCGTACCAACCGTACCAACCAACCATACCAACCGTACGTACCAGGGAAAACACATTTCCCAACCGTACCGTACCATATATTCTTGAAATCTCGCTAAGCCCTCTAGCACCTATCTTGGACCTAGCTAACTTTTACACACAGACGCTTTTACACACAGACGCTTTTACACACAAACACTTTGACACACAGACACTTTTGCACACAAAAGCTTTTACACACTGTTGCTTGCACACACACAGACGCTTTCATACACAAACACCTTTACACACAAACACTTTTACACACAAACACTTTTGCACACAAAAGCTTTTACACACAGACGCTTTTACACACTAACACTTTTACACACAGACGCTTTTACACAGAGACACTTTTGCAGACAAAAGCTTTTACACACAGACGCTTTTACACACTAACACTTTTACGCACAGACGCTTTTACACACAGACACTTTTACACACAGACGCTTTTACACACAGACACTTTTACACACAGACGCTTTTACACACAAACACTTTGACACACAGACACTTTTGCACACAAAAGCTTTTACACACAGACGCATTTACAAACTAACACTTTTACACACAGACGCTTTTACACACAGACGCTTTTACACACAGACGCGTTTACAAAGAGACGCTTTTACACACAGGACATCGCAATTTGCTATAGTTTTGGGCGATTGAATCTCATCTCATGCGAAAGGGTCGCGATTAGACACCCTAAGTCTCGAAAGTTAGTAATTTTACTCGCCCTGAATTTTACGTAAAATGGACTGTTTTACTAACGTTATTTTACGTAAAATTTTACTAACGTTAGTAAAATTTACTAACGTGAGTAAAATTTTACTAATGTTAGTAAATGATTTTACTAACGTTAGTAAAATTTTGCATGCTTTCAAAAAATTGTGAAAATTGTGTTTTTTCGTTTTTTCTTAGGAGTTGTGATATTTTTTGTGATGTGTGTGATTGTGGTTTGCGATGATTTGGTTTTGAGTGAGGTGTTTCCAGTGGAGGATTTCAATCGATATGTTGTCGTTTCCGTAGAAGAATCTGCACTTATGTGTTGAGGAATGACTTTACATGAGTTTGTACTGGAGACTTTACTTGCGATTTTATATGAGGAGTTCTTGATACTTTCTTGGGACTTTACCTGAGAGTTCTTTTGAGATGTTATGTGAAATCATGTATATCTATATCTATATATCTATATATCTATATAAACATAAAAACTGGATGTACATAAGTATAGGTGAATCCACAAAAGGAATTAACATTGGATCTTGACTTTAAGAAGTCATTGCAAAGCATTTACATTTGAAAAAGAAAGTCTACATATTTTTTTGGGTAAATGAGACTAGGTGAAATATCAAAGCAATAATAACCACACCTTATCATTTTTTCCAGGCAAGAAAAGTGAAACAAACTTTATTGGATCAGGTTTGCTTGCTACAAAACTTGATCAACTTGCATAAAACAATTGTCCATGGGGACTGAAGACATGTCTTTTTCAAAGCTAAATTTAAAAGGGAGCTCATAGACTCTTGTGGTGCTTTTTTTCTCATACAATTTGGAGAAGGTCTGGATGAAATCCTGGTAAACCTTTGGCTGGCTTGAAAAGATACATCCGAGAAGTCTTAGATGTGTCTAAAGATTTTTTCAGAAAAATGCTTGAACACGGTCAAAAATGTAATGCACTTCTGATGCACTTTTGGTGCACTTTTGATGCACTTTTGGTGCACTTTTGATGCACTTTTGGTGCACTTTTGATGCACTTTTGATGCACTTTTGATGCACTTTTGGTGCACTTTTGATACACTTTTGATGCACTTTTGATGCACTTTTGATGCACTTTTGATGCACTTTTGATGCACTTTTGGTGCACTTTTGATGCACTTTTGATGCACTTTTGATGCACTTTTGGTGCACTTTTGATACACTTTTGATGCACTTTTGATGCACTTTTGATGCACTTTTGATGCACTTTTGATGCACTTTTGGTGCACTTTTGATGCACTTTTGATGCACTTTTGGTGCACTTTCAAAAGTGACGCACTTTTGACGCACTTTTGACGCACTTTTGATGCACTTTTAAAAGTGCATCAAAAGTGCGTCAAAAGTGCGTCGAAAGTGCGTCAAAAGTGCGTCAAAAGTGCGTCAAGAATTTATGACATTTTTCTTGGAAAAAATAAAAAATGATAAGGTTCTCTCTCAAAAAGAGGTTGCATGCATTGAGTTTGAAGTAATACTGATTCAGTGCAGTCTCAAGTAAGATGCAAAGTGCAATGATAGCAAACTGAGTCAAGTTCACTGACAACAGTCTCCAGTAGAGTTCAGTGGCAACAGGCCCGAGTAAAGTTCATTGGATGCAGCCTCAAGTAAAGTTTATTGGATGCAGCCTCAAGCAAAGTTCATTGGATGCAGTCTCAAGTAAAGTTCACTGACAGCAGTCTCAAGTAAAGTGCGCTGACAACAGGCTCAAGTAAAGTGCAGTGTCAACATTCTCAAGTAAAGTCTTTATGCAGAAAAGTTTCCTGGATCTGTTTTCATGTAAAGCCAACCTCAGCGAACAGCAGCAGCACTTATTTTTTTCACACCCCAATGCAAGCTATCAGGAATTGACCATCTATCTTTCTTTCAGAATGTTTTCGTTTTGCGGCAAAGGACATATCCTTATGCAGGTTCCACATGCCAATTTCTTCACATTCCTCAACAATATTTGCATATTCATTCTGCGTCTTATATCAAATTCAAGGAAATTCAAAAACCTATCACACATCTTCTGGCACATTTTTGATGCATTCTTGATACATTTTTGGTGCACTTTTGATGCACTTTTCCTTTTTTTTTTTGTTTACATTTTACTAATTTTGCAAAAATCAACAAAAATTTTACGTAAAATCTTCTGGATTAGTAAAATTACTAAATTAGTAAAATTACTAGCTTTCGAGACTTACTGGGTGCCCCCCTCTAGTTGTAACTAAGTTGCGAGACATAATTTAGTCGGAATGGAGTTATAAGTAACTTATAGCAAGTAACTTGTAAATTAGTTAGTGAATTTACAACTAAGTTATAAGTTCCGTAACTTATTTAGGTTGTTTTTTGAGCTGTTTTTTGGATAGTTCTCGTTGTTTTTCTACTTTTTGTGGTTATTTTGGAAAAGTATATTTTGTTTAACTTTTTTCGTACTTTTTTAGTCAAACAGCCGTTTTGCCTATATGTGCGGACCACCGCCGGCAACGAGCGGACGTGCGGACCACCGTCTTTTTTTTGCCGCTACAGCAAGCACAAAACATCCAGGCCATCAATTGCCCACCAGCTTGGGTTGTGCAATCCATGCAGCTTGTCCAGCTCCATTGCTTCCTTCGCTTCAGTCATTGCGAATAAACATTACATGAAAACTGTATATACATATTTTTTTTATATATGTATATACACATACAGTTATAAATATTAAACTTTCCGAAATGATTGCAAACTGTACACATGTTATGGTAGTAAATAAAGGTCGATATTCGTGACGAAGGCGAGTAGATTTCCAGCAGCGGCGCCTCCAAATCAGAAGAAACCTCAACAAGAGATTTCGCGATTGGAAATCAAACCTTCCCTATACAAACTTCCTTTTTTATAGGCCATCGTTTTTTGGTAGTGCCTCTTGATTTTGAGCACAAGCGCGTAGCCGTTTGGGCTCCGGATATAGTTTCATGCTAAATGGATTGTATCTTTAGAGGTTCATATGGATGAGGTGGTATTGTCATCATGTTTCTTATTATTTAAAAATTCTATACCCACATCCACCCACATAAAACCACATATTTCCACAGCGGTGGAAATCTGTGGAAATCTGTGGGTGGCCTTTAGCCAAGACTACACCCACAGCCACCCACACATTTCCACAACGGTGGAAATCTGTGGAAATCTCTGGGTGGCCTTTAGCCAAGACTACATCCACAGCCACCCACAGATTTCCACAACGGTGGAAATGTGTGGAAATCTGTGGGTGGCCTTTAGCCAAGACTACACCCACAGCCACCCAAAGATTTCCACAACGGTGGAAATCTGTGGAAATCTGTGGGTGGCCTTTAGCCAAGACTACACCCACAGCCACCCACAGATTTCCACAACGGTGGAAATCTGTGGAAATCTGTGGTTTGATGTGGGTAACATGATTTGTAAATTTTGATTTGAGCATTTTGTTTCCTGTCCGGCCCATGTTGGGTCATATGATGCTTTTTGCGCTCATGTCATTTGGGGATTTAAATCAGGCCCATGTTGGGCATGCTAGGTCCCTCGCCCGTTCTGCTCGTTCTCCTTTCGTTCTTTTGTTGCTGTTGTTGTCAATGAACAACACAGCAGCCAGATGACCCGTTCTTCTACTTCTCCTTTCTTTCTTTTGTCGCTGTTTTTGTTCAAGAAACAGCGCGGCAGCAAGATGATCCGTTCTACTTCTCCTTTCGTTCTTTCGTCGCTGTTGTTGTTAAAGAAACAAACGCAGCAGCTACTATATATGATATTACTTTTTGTAACTATGATATCGGTTGAATAACATGTGCATATCCAAATGTATGTACAGGTTCTTGCAAATATATATAAAACTATATGGCATACTTTTGAACAGACCAAGATGAGGGCTCAAGCAAAGCAACAGAGCGGACAACCGCGGATACTAAAAAAGGCATGGTGCGGACAGCCGCAAAGTTTCGCCAAATTCAACTTGAAAAGACAAATGAATCAATCGAAAACCTGTTTTTGGCAGGAAAACAGCAATGCAGTGAAAAAGAGTCTATCTGGCTACGAAAACATACGGAAATCAAAAAATCAATGAAAAATCAAACTAAAAAAGGCTAAGTTCCGTAACCTTTTACTAAGTTTTAAGGCTCCAACTTATAACTCACATATAATGATTCTATCTGGAGCATCTAAGATGTAAGTTCCAACAGAAGATAAGTAAGTTACTCCAACTTATAAGCTGCTTAACCTATGTTATAAGTTAAGTTGCGCGACTTATAACTAATGTAACTATATAGGGGGGGCACCCAGTAGGGCAAGAGGAATTACAATTTCACTTCAGTTTTTGACGATCGAAACTCGTTTCGTGCGAAAGGGTTGCGCAGAGCAACTTGAAATCGCACTTTTACTTCAGTTTTTGACGATCGAACCTCGTTTCGTGCGAAAAGGTTGCGCGGAGCAACTTGAAATCGCAATTTTACTTCAATTTTTGACGATCGAACCTCATTTCGTGCGCAAAGGTTGCGCGGGACAAGTGAAATCGCAATTTTACCTCAGTTTTTGACGATCAAACCTCATTTCGTGCGAAAGGGGACGACTTGAACTCGCACTTTTACTTCAGTTTTCGACGATCGAACCTCATTTCGTGCGAAAGGGTTGCGCGGGACGACTTGTACTCGCACTTTTACCTCAGTTTTTGACGATCGAACTTCATTTTGTGCGAAAGGGTTGCGCGGGACAAGTTGAAATCGCAATTTTACTTCAATTTTTGACGATCGAACCTCATTTCGTGCGAAATGGTTCGCGGGACAAGTGAAATCACAATTTTACATTAGTTTTTGACGATCAAACTGATCAAACCTCATTTCCTGGGGGGCCGTTTGATCGCGAAAAAGGAGGCCAAAGGCCGTTTGGCCAAATGGCTTCGAAAAAATGGTTTGGCCTTGGAATCAAGATATGGCCGTGAAAACAAGATTTGGCCGTGAAAAAGTGTGCATTTGGCCGTGGAAAAGCGTTGAATAGCCGTGGAAAACCGTGAAAAACGTGAAATTGCAGACGGCAATGCGAATGGCCGTGAAAACAGCGTATGGCCGTGAACATATCTTTTCGTGGACGAGAGCGGTATGTGCACGTTTTTTGTGATCAAATGGCTCCCCAGGTTCGTGCGAAAGCGGACGACTTGAACTCGCACTTTTACTTCAGTTCTTGACGATCGAACCTCATTTCGTGCGAAAGGGTTGCGCGGGACGACTTGTACTCGCACTTTTACTTCAGTTTTTGACGATCGAACCTCATTTCGTGCGAAAGAGTTGCGCGGGACAAGTTGAAATCGCAATTTTACCTCAGTTTTTGGTGATCGAACCTCATTTCGTGCGCAAAGGTTGCGCGGGACGACTTGAACTCGCACTTTTACCTCAGTTTTTGACGATCGAACCTCATTTCGCGCGAAAGGGTTGCGCGGGAGAAGTTGAAATCATAATTTTATTCAGTTTTTGGCGATCGAACCTCGTTTCGTGCGAAAGGGTTGCGTTTCGTCCCGTCTCGTTGGCACTGCCCTTGCCCCCGCCTTCAGAAGAGAAATAGAATAGAAGGAGAGGGCAAGAGGGCAAGAGGGCACGAGGGCAAGAGGGCAAGAGGAGAAGATGTGAAGATGTGAGGATGTGAAGATGTGAAGATGTGAGGATGAGAAGATATGAAGATGAGCAGATGTGAAGATGTGAAGATGAGCAGCTGTGCTGTGAAGATGAGAAGATGTGAAGATGAGCAGCTGTGAAGATGAGAAGATGTGACGATGAGAAGATGTGAAGATGAGAAGAGGTGAAGATGAGAAGATGTGAAGATGAGAAGATGTGAAGATGAGATACAGACCCCCACTATTGGAAGAACCCTGCGCTCAGACGCTCTCGGCAAAAAAAGGTACGTAACACCAGGGCGTTATTTTGTTTAGGTCCGTCTTTAAAGATCGAACATTTTAGTTCTTCCTTTTTTCAAGAATTAGGGTTTTGACTTTACTGTTTGAAAAAATTCGAAATTCAAAATTTTGGCAATATGTTCGTTAGATTTCAACCAGGAATTTAGCTGATTTTGAAACCGAAAAGGACGCATATTTTAAACCCAAAATTAAGGTCTTGAATTTAATCTTAGGGAAGGAAAGCTTCGAAATTGAATGTTTGGCGATATTTTGATTAGATTCTGATAAGGAACCTAATTGATTTTGAACATGTTAGATTATCTTATGCAAAGCTCGAATTTGTATAAGATTAGGGAAAAGTTTGGAAATCCGATTTATGGCACTATTTTCATTAGAATTCAATACAGAATTTGATCGGTATTGAAATCGAAAATATTAGTCGATTTTCTATGTATACACAGTTTGTATAGGTTTTGCATTTTATATTAGAAGAGAATTGAAATCCAATTTTTGGTAATATGTCCATCAGAATTCAAGAAGGAGCTTGACATCGATTTTGAAATGATAACTTTTTTAAAAGCAGCACTTTAATTTGACTTTTAGTATTAGGATTATTAGGGAGGCGCTTCTCACCCGAATACTAAATACCACCCAATAACGAAAACTACTCAAGGTGTTCATTATTAGGGGGGACATTTAGTATTAGGGGGAAAGGATTAAATAGCAACACTAACACACCGCAGATTTTGGTAAACAAAGGTTCGTGTGCAACGCAGTGCAGCTAATGAATACTTCGTGGTGCAAGCTCAAAGAGCCGACAATGAAAGCACGGCCGCATTGTACTTCTTGCATCCAGTTCACGCCATTCGGCTGCGGTTTGGATTTGGGCCTTGCCATAAGCCTCAGATATGGATGAGGACACTTTTGACTATGAGGCCATGACCATGATGCTTTGACTGAAATGACGAAGTATTTGCAGCAATCAAAGGAAAAGAATTGGATGAGTTCCTGTAGAGGCACCTAATCAGCTTACTTCCGAGTGCTCACCATATTTCACAGCACATAAGAAAATACCTCGCATCACCGCCTGATAAGCTTCCACGTGTGCGCGTGCTAGTCACATAAAGGCGACTATTACATAATTAATATCAATAATATACTGGCGCAAAACAAAGCCGATCTGAATCAGAGCGTGGTTGTGCAACATATCCTGTAAGAAGCAGCTGCAAAATATAATGCATCATCCACAGCTAGGGGATGAACCCGCGGCTCCTGTCCTAGGGATTCTTCTTTCCCCGTGTCTCAGGCACTTGCAATGCTAACTCATCTGGTCCAGAATCTTCTGGTTCTTTTGGGGGCCTGGGCACATTTTGAAAGTTCTGCTTAGCCAATCCTTCAAATTGAAGAAATCTTGAGCGAATGGACTGCTTTCCTACAAGCATACCTTCAAAACGTTCAAAGAGACTGCTTGCCTATGTTCGCATCAGTTCGCGTCACATCATCTTTGCATGTGCCACTGCCACAAATAATCAAAAATACTTACGCTTGCTACTGGACATGGTCCCCCTCCAATCCCTCTTAGGATTCCTAGAAAACTTCTTATCATCCTCAGCAACCAGGCCGGGTGCCGGCCAACAACCCGTAGTCTCGCGGTCTAACGTTGCATTGCCAGTTGCTAATGCTCAAAAACACCGCATACATCCGCACATTATGCACTACAGATTGCACCATATGCACAGGCAACTCTTGATTCAAGTGTTTGACACGTCCGCAGGCATAGAAGGCCTCAATGTCCAAGACGCTGACGTTCAAATACAGCAGAAATATGCAGACATGATGGTGTTTCTGTTTTGCATACTCGCGGGTGTCCTTGCTTGGCCACTGCGTGGGTAGGTTGTAAAGTCAGGTTTGTTTGACTATATCATTGCATCATGTTTGCCAATTGCAGGATGCCATGCCGCAGGCTGGCTGCTGGTTCATGATGATTCGCCGTCAGATGTACCCTTCGTCTTGAAAAAGGGCGTGTGAAGGGTCAAATTCTGGCAGGCATCACAAAACCCTGAGCATCCCTCACCCCAAACGAAGAAAACATGACCCAAAACATCTATACAGTAATGTGTTTTGTTCCAACACTCCAGGAACAAATGGTAAGAGGCAATGGGAAGTCAGATTTGTTGCGGTGCTATGCAGTGAGCACCGTCTTCTTGCCAAATACCTTTTCTCTATCCCATTGCCATTCCCCGGTTTCACTTGATGTCTGCTGGCTTGAGCTGGAGAAAATGGTGGAACTGAGACAGGGGCTGGCTTTCATCCTGACATGCTGAAGTGGCCTGGAGATACAAATGGGCGCTACGTTATTTCCTTGTCTATTTGGTCTATATTTGGTATTAACCCGGAAGACTTGCAAAACCTTGCTGCGAAAGGAAACATAAATTCACGCATTCTTGTCTGAAGACATTTTTTTGCGATCTTTAAATTAAATTATTTGGTATGATCCTGTCGTAATGCTGTTTTGATCACACCATCACGACCTTCGTTCAGGCATGGCCTTAGGCCTCTTTGGCGGAGGTACCACTTCTCCTGGCGTCCCAATCCGATTTCTGTGTCAACCTGGGCAAACGACCCTTGTACATGCTTAACTTCGTCACATTGCATACATCGGTGAACATCGTTGAATGTCGTTGAACATCGTTGAACTAAATCTACTGATTATCCCGGCAAGAGACCCCACACAGTGTTGCAAGGAACATGAAGAGGAGATGCCAGGTCAGATTTTGTAAGTTCCCCTTGTGGAGAACTCTGTAGAAGATCGTGTGCAAGATCTCCTTGACAGGTTCTCTGTAGAAGCTGCTGTGCAAGATCCCTTTGTATCCTTTGTAAGGCTATCTGTACACGGTGTCTATAAGAGATTTCCAAAGAACATCTCTGTAAGAGATCTCAAAGTACAGTAAGATCTCCGTTCAAACTCTCTATAGAGATCTCTGAGCAAGATATCTGTTCCCTGCACCAGTTCTCTGCACAAGATCTCTAAAACAATGTCTCTTGGCAAGATCTCTTGAAGAGATCAGTGTAGAAGCTCCCTATAAGGAGGTCTGTTGGCAAAATCTCTTGAAGAGATCTCTGTACAAACTCTGTATAAGGGCTCTCTTGGCGAGATCTATGTAAGAGACCTCTTGGCAAGATCTCTGCAACAGATCTCTACGCAATTTCATCGTACAAGATGTTGATAAGAGGTCTTCCGGCCAGATCCCCAGTAACATGGTCTCTTGGCAAGATCTCTGCAAGCCTGTCAGATTGGTTTTGTTGTGGTGCGGTGCTCATTTTGAGATTGCTCGCGTAACCCTCTCGGCACTTTGGGCCTGTCAGATCGCTGTCGCTCGGCTCGGCTATTTTCAAGAGCAATGCTATGGAGGTGTATCAAACATGGTACGATGGTGCGGTGGGGCGGTGGGGCGGTGCACGGGCGATGTTATAGCGGTACGGTGGCGCAATTTGAGCAATACGGAGGTACGTGTTCAATTCGCAGCACGGAAGTGCCCACAGGAGACCGTACTAGGGTACATATACAAAAGGGGAAGTCGTTCTTTTTTGTCGTTTAGTGTGACTGCACCTGAATTTTGGCATGGCTGAGCTGAATAAGTTTTTTCCCTGGAAAGTACCAGGCACATGTTCACCACAAAATTTAAACAACAAACGCAAAATTCCACACCATGATTGGGTGCTGGAAATCCACAGCTGCATATATAGGCAAGCCTAGGAATATCAGGGAATATTGGTTTCGTTACAAGTTAAAGATTCACCCAGGCACTCATCAATATTACATGTTGCATCATGTTGATTGTTCCTGGGGTTTTGGCAAGTTGCGTGCATGTTGTGACTTGAGTGCCTGTGCCGTGTGTTTGTTTCTTGTAGGGTTTCTTCTTTTAGTAGGTGACAAGAGCAGATCTGCAGGCTATTGTCAAAGAATTGGAACTTCAGAGACATGAAGGACGTGTGATGAGCAATGTTCTTGCATGAATCCATTGCAGCGCTTGCAGGGCCCCTAAGAAACCAAGAGCTACGCCACTATTCCAAACAACATGACTGATGCGCAGTGTGCGTGGTGCCTTTTGAATCTTTTGGCTTCTTGACCACTTGTCAGATTTCACGTAGTTAGCATGGCTTAGGAGGAAGACAACAGATTTATAAACTATCGTCTAATAGTTGTTCTCTTGCGAACCCAGAACTTCCATTCCTCCTTATTTAATTTAAGGAGTTTTTTTTAAAGGAATTCCACCCTAATTAAGGAGGAATTTTTCCTTAATTAAGGAATTCCACCTTAATTAAGGAGGAATTCTCCTTAATTAAGGCGTTTTTTTTGAAAATTCCTCCTTATTTTTTTTTAAGGAGGATTTTTTTCACTGTTGTTTGATACATCTTTGACATCATCATTGCATCAAGACCAACCTTTGGAGGTTGCTTCAAGCAGATGCAAGATATCCTTTTGGTGTTTTGTTTTCCTGCATGTAATGTTTGTGCATCGCATCTGCAGTTGATTTCTCAAGATGAGTAGAGCTAAGAACACTGCTTCTGTTCATGATTCAAGACCTTTGCAAATGTTTGAAAGCAGAGGTGGCTTGTTTGGCTCCCAAGGAGTACTTGGATGTTGAAATTGATCAAGTTTGCAAGCATTATCGAAAAATTCTGGGCTTGATGTTCCAGAAAACAATTCGACCATCCAAAGACTGCTTGAAGGAAGCTGCCTTGAAAGTCAACCCTCGCACTTTGAGTGACGAAGCGAAGAAGTGGTCTTCTGCACTTGTCGAACGTGAGCAACACATCAGAACAAAAGCAAAATGGTCAATTTCAAGTAAAAAATATGAGCCTTGGATGGGTGAGCTTGTGAAGATCTATCTGGAGTGCTCAGAATTCCATGGGAACCGGCAGAAAGGCAAGTTTGTTCAGAAAGCCATTGCCAAGCGAAGGCTCATGAGACAAAGTTCCAATGCGAGCTCCATCCCACAGTTGCCTGTGAATGAACCACTTTTGCAAAAAAATCCTCCAGGCCACAGCTCAGAAACATTGGATAGCCAAGAGCATCAATTGATAGAAGTGTCGAGTGAAGAGAGCCAAGCAAGTCCTAAGAAGCCTGTGAGTGCTGGAACCTGGATCGATTCTACTGCCATGGTGGTATGTCGCTTTGTGGATAGCAAGGTGGAGAAAGCTACTATGAGTGAAGGACCAAATGGCTTTGCCATTGCTGCTTTTGGTGAAAACAAATTTGAATCTGAAATTCCCAATGAATCTTTGAAGATCTATAGGCAATCTGCAGGTGGGAAAAAGCCTGCTGCAGTCTTGAAAAGGCCTGCTGCAATCTTGAAAAAGCGTGCTGCATGTGAAGCAGTACTTGGCACTTCTGAAGAAGAGGATGTTGAAGCTCGGCTGTTGCAGTTGCTGATCCTGAACCTGCTGCTGTTGACTTGGCATCTCCTGAATATCGCTTGGAAGATTATCCTGCCAAAGGCAGTCGAAAGTATGGTGCTTTAGGTGTCAAACGAAATTTTGGAGACAAGAAACAAATCAAATCTTTCACTTTGAACAAAATTTCAAGAGAAGTTGGCTTGGATTTGGCCCAGGCATGCATTGCTGATTTGCACAATGGTGCTACTGAACAATCTGTGATTGAATTTTTGACTGAGGAAATTCGAAAGTGGAAGGTTGGACAGGATGTGGATTAGATTGGATGAAATTGCAAAAAAAAAGGCTGCTGATTTCTGTTGCATGTTTCAAGGAGGTGTAAAATCTCCTGAGAGTTCTCTATAGGAAAATAGGAAATAGTCTTTCCACTTTTCTGTCTTAAGGAGGTGCAAGATCTCCTGACATTTGGAACTTGAGCGTTTAGTGTCTGGGTGGATTTC